ACACTTAATATTAGCTGCCTGTTGCGCATGTTAGAATTAATATTTTCCACAATAGTTTATCTAATTAAGACAGCATCTCTGTCCGGATATAGAGTTATAATCTTCATTATGTACGTAGCAAAGATTTGGAAATGGAATGAGAGCGGCGTCTTTCAGCTAAGAACAAAGTGTAATATCTTTATAAGGCTGGAGCCATGGATGTCTCCTCATCTGCTAACGTATGATGTAATGATGTGGCAGACTGGAGATGTATAAAATTCCTCTTTAACTGTTAATGGGGGCCACTTCCCGAGAAATGAGCCTGGGGGTTAGCAGCTGCCTTCTATAACCCTAAGCAACTTCTCTGATTTGAGTAAGATTACAATTTCTATCAGAATCTGTTGTCATGTCTCATGGTTGTTTATTACATAAACATTATGAAGTGTTATTTAAAGAGTTTGTCCCGAGTGATGTCTTTTCAGGAAAAAGAACCGGAGAGATAGAGTCTCAAGGTGCATACACAGAGCCTATCTTCAACGGTTTCATACCAGACTTTTGTTTTATTTTTTTTATTTTTTTTTTACAGAGTCCTGAAAAACTTTGGTTAGTTTCATACCAGACTTTTATGCAATGTGAACTTACAAATAGTTATCTGATCCCCACAAAAGGAAACATAACCTTTAATGTGTTGTAAAGATAGAAGCAAATCTTGTCAGACATTGGACTCAGATGTTAGCTTACAAAAATCACAATATAGTTAATAGTTCAAAGAAATGTATTTAGCATGATAAAAGCTTATATGTTTATTTTACTGTGCAACACATCTATATAATAGAAATGCTTCTATTATATAGATAAAATCAAATGGATTTGACTGGATCAGGTGATTTAAACAAAGTTGTCTAATTTTTATAAGAAGGGATTACTCATTTTAGATCTAAAACTTGGAAGGCTTTTGCAGTTTTGCTTTATTAAAAGAAAAGCATCTGATTTGCAAATGCAATTAAGTATTGAAGCTGTGCCAAAAAATGTACAAATAAATCTGATATATCCACAGTGATACGATTCTGTCTTCAAAATGTCAGAGTTGGTGGATGTGGTTGTGGACCCAAACGCAGAGTAGAAGGAGGGCAAAATGAGCTTTTGCTGATTTAATGAAACTGGAAAAGGCAATAGAAGCAAAATCCAAGAAAAAATACAGGAAACCAAAAATACAGGAGATACCAGGCGAGAACAAACATGTGGAGAAAAGTAACAACAAGAAACCAGCACTGAGGAAACGCACAAGAGGAGTATAAATGGATGATTGAATAAAGACGGCCAATCAGCTGACAAGGAGCAGGTGTGGATGGAAGCAACCAGAAATAACACAAGAAATTCAACACTTTCAGAAAACTACAGACATATAATCACAGTGAAACTAAAAACTGAAAAACAAATCTAAACAAAGGGCAGAACCATTACATGAAATCACTATGTGTATTTAACAAGTGGAAAGATGTGCTTATATTCATTGGAAAGTAAAAGAGATGTTTTTGAAAATAAAATTTGTCCCCATCTGCACTGGCCATGTAGGATGGTTGGACAAAATTTGTATCATTATCGAACTGCAGGCCAGGGGCTGCAAATGCTTCCCAGGTTGAAATTTTGACACACTAGCTCTGTGAGCTATAATGTTAGAATAGCACTGCTGATTGTGACGTGATACGACATGTGCACAAAGATCAGAGCTGCTTTATGAAGAACAGCTGATATTAAAGTTCCTCCTATCTCAGAAACCATGATATGAGACTATTGTTTCAAGTCAGCACAGGAAGAGCTTTTACAACTATTCAGATTAATCAGACTATCAGAGAAAACTTCAGTTTGCTCTTTGGACTTTTTATTCTTTTGGAATGTCGTAGATCAGGAAGAAGTTCCTGAGTTTAAATCTCAGCTTCCTCCCACTCTCCAAAAACATGACAGTTAGGTTCACCAGTCTTTCTAAATTGCCCTTAGGTTCAGGTATGTGCTCAGTTCTACCTTGTGTGCCCGGTTCTCCATCCTATGTGCCTCCGTGTTGCTCTTTGTCAGCTTCTCACTTAATGACTTAATGGATTGATAAGAGAATTGCAGACATGTATTAAACATAATTTATTCAAATTAACAGCATCCAGAAGAGATGGCAATGTAAACTGTTTATTTTCTGCCTCGTTTGTCTGTTCTGTTAACTACAGTAACTCATAGATTGTGAGTTAAACTCACATATTGTGGGTTAATGTAGGTTCTCTGAGGTGTTACTGCGGTTTCCCCTGCATCCTGTATGATTCCCAGAGCTCAAGCTGTGTGAAGAGAGGTTGGGGAGGTGGGGTTTTGTTGGGCTTTAAAGGAATGATTAGCCTTCTCACTCATTTTTCCCAGAGCTACTGGAGTGGAATAATTGGATAGCATGTACAAATCTGAGCTCTTTTCACTGTGAGAGGATAGAGTGATGAATGATAAAGAGAAAAAAATTAAGCAAAAGAAAGAATGGGACTTACTTCCTGTGGATGGCTCTGAGCCCTGCACAGCAGCGATCACATTATTTACTGCTGAGGGTTTAATGCATTGTTGAGTAATGAGCAGGCAACTGATGGTCTGTGATGTGAAGCTCACTTATTCACTCACTGGGCTGTTTTCCAGGACTGTAGACCCTCTGGGTTGAAACAAAGCCTGCGCCGCCTTCTAATTTAGCCACTTCACTCTTTCTGCATTTTGGTGCATTACATGCATGCTAATTAAAACACATGACAAATACAAGCATCTTTACATGGTCGGGTGAAATACCATTTTATTTTTCATACTATATTATTCTATGAATGGAAATGAAACAGACCCTCAAAGCTGTTTTTATGGTGACACCTCACCTTGTTGTTAAAGGAACTGCTCCAGCTTCTGAGAAAGAAAAGCTAAGTTTACAGTGACACATGGTGGTCACTACAAGACACAACAGCATGTTCAATTTCTAGGCCTTCTGATTGGTTCAGGTCACAGAGGCTTAGTTACTGTAAATATATTTTGCCTGTTACTGAAGACTACCTCTGTTTGCAGAACCCTTCTGAGGCAAGGGTTATAAATGATCTAGGATCCAGAGTGTCAGCAACCTTCCCAATACCTTTAAATTTAGGGGACGCTGCAGCAGTAATAACATATGTACAGAGAAAAAGAGAAAAGTCCCCTTTTTCCTGGTTTTACTTAAAATGTTAAAGGGAAGTCAAACAGCTTTGATGCAGAAGACCAGGTGACTTTACTTTGAGGTCAATCACACCATGGAGGAAACCGACAGGCTCTTGTAATTGAGATCTTCTACTTTTACTTACTTCTTTGCTTTAATCAAATGAGATGAACAGTAAAGGTGAAAAATAAGATGAATTGATGAACACAACCCTTTGCATTTTAGCCAATGTCTGTCCTCAAATCAAAATATGAACCTACACCATGCTGTGAAGTTATCAAACTATATTTCTTAAAACAATTCTTTTTGGCATGGCTAAACATTGAATTGTATGTCTTGCCAAAAAAAATCATAAATAGGTATAGTAACATAGACTGCAAGATTACAAAATACCTACACATCTCCAGAAATGCGGGAGCAAATTATAGATTTTGACAGTGGCTTAGGACTGCACCATGTTCAATACAAAAATAAAGCCATATTACTATTTTATCATTATCATAAAATATAATCCAATTCTCTTTTTAATTATCCATCCAACATATACCAGTGATATATAATTTTCGTATGAAGATTTTGAAGAATTACAGGGCACTGAAATGTCTTTTCCCTTTTAAAACAACCAACTAGTGAGTCTAGCTTTTCAACTTCAAAGAAATTAAAATAAATGAATTTGTAAATATATATATATATATATATATATATATATATATATATATATATATATATATATATATATATGAGAGGGAGAGGCTACTATAAAGGGTGAAGGGATAAAATGGATAAATAAATTACATAATGAAATAGAAGAAAAAAATCACTATAGAACACAAAAATTCAACTTTAAATAAATTATTTCACCCATAAATAATTTAATTGAAAACTTTTTCATTTATTACATTACTATATTATTGTACCAATAAATTGTGAAATGCTCAACTAAATGTATAATTAGTTTATTTAGTACATCATTAAATACTGGACTATTTCATAATGAAATGTACAATTAAATGATACAATTTTTGATTAAAAGATAAAATAATTGTATTTTATTATTATACATTTATTTTAATATAAATGTAATCATTTCATCCATTCAACTCAGTGGGCAGATTAGGGCAGCTTCTGTAGAGATGCTGGCATCTGTTAGGTTGTTTTACACTAGAACAAGACAACCTATGACTAGTTTGCTATGACACTGAGGTCAATATTTTACTGAAACTTGCAGACATAACTCCAAATGTACCAGTAATGTTGCAATTGATTTATCATAAACTTTGGGTGAGCAAATATCTATGATGTGTCCACAAGAGAGCATTAGCTGGTCAGTCGTTAGCCTAAAACCTAATGAAGTATGCAACAGAAATCTAAATATACAGGAATACTAAGGATGAAGTAAATATAGGGATGAAATAAAGAAAGTACACTAACAGAATAAACGAATAAATAACGAGGAAAAAAAAAGAAACGAAATTAACTAAAAAATGACCACACTCAAGGGTAATGACAAGATACTTTGAAGAAATCTATCCTTCTGGGTAAGCAAAGAGCAACAACATTGGGCTGCCTATACTTTATATGAATTAAGTTTATACTAGCTGCAACAGATGTAGATAAAAACACAGAGTAAATATGTCAGAGTGGGTATACTATGTCCTCCAGCAGATTGCACAACTTCATTGGTACTCCTACAACTTTAAATGTTAATAACAATCATATGCTTGAGGAGCAATCAAAATACCCCATGGACTTTTAATGTAATTAGTTATTTTTCCCAGCAAAATCAAAAGATCTTTTAATGTGCTTTTTGTTTTTCGCATCCTTTTTGATTCCTGTCAGTGGTGTCTCTCCTGGATGCGCAAATGAAACGAAGACAGACGTTGCAGGACGTCTTCTAGGACTGCAGGCGGAGCTAAAACACAAAGTCTGAGAAGAAATTGATTTAATATTTGGAGCAATTCAGTTAAACATCAGACTCCACATAACTGCCACCTATTTTTAACATTTTTGATTGTTAAAATTAAACTAGAAATAGCATTGCATTTTAGTAGATTAGAATCCATATATAACTAAGGTATTTTGAAATTAGAGCTACAGTAATAGATAGAAAAAATATATTTTTTTTTATACATACATTAGCTAATGACAGAAAATCATTTTCACTTACCTAATGTGAAAGTTTTTATCGTCATGGCCGTTCTCAGAGCCGGGACCCAAACAAACACCTTCCTGCTCCAGTAGCTTCTGACAGTACAAAACATCAGCTTGCATTCCTAACACCTATTCAATTAAAAAAAACACATTTTACTATCACTAAAGGTTTAGAGAGGTCGGATCTATCATGTTTGCCTTTGTCATTATATTCCAAAGTTTTCTTAGGTTAAAACTTACCTCAGCCTGCTGTATGAATTCAACAGGTAACTGCAGACTAGGATAAAGGAATACTCCTCCCATCACCGGTTGGCAGCTCATCCCTGCTATGTTGTTGAGAAACTCGCATCCTCGCCGAGCATTCTGGGAGATAATCTCTGCTCTCTGGAGAACCTCCTTGAAGAATAAAAAGAGAAGTCAGAAAAGTATGAAAAAAACTTTTTGAGATGCATTGTTTTTATTTAAAAATTTATTTTGTTGTTGTTTTCACATCTATACAGGATGACATAATTTTATTTATAGGTGCCATGGCTGAACATATAGAGGGAGTATAAAGACATTTTCTTTAATGTTCTAGTTTCTTCTTACTTATTTTTTATCTCTTATTGTGAGCCGCGTAAACATGGTTGTTTTTTCTTGTGATGCTCATCATTATAATCTGATATTCTCAGCATTACCCTTGCTAGCTCCTTGCCTAAAAACATATTTTTGATGATTAAAGAGATTAAAAATTCCTGAGCTACATGTATTACATCACAGCTGTGTTTAGTGAAGTTGGGTAAAGTGTTCATACTCTACTGGAACACTTTACCTAAAATGTCTAAGTTTTAATATTCAGCTGTTGGTTTGGGGTAAAGCGAAAAGCTACAACTTGAATTAATACAACCATCAATTATGCAAAATTGATGGGGGTTTTTTTCATAAGAGACATTTATCAAGACATTTTAGATTTACACAAACTATTGTGGGAATAACAAGAAAGAAGAATATTCACGTTTTCCAAATGGCCGTCATGATAGAGATGAGATTTTCCACACACATTTTAAAATAATGTTTACTTGTTCCTTTTTTGGGGTTTGTTTTTTTTGGTGTCAGGGTTTTTCAGTATATATTCTCCCTACCTGAGAGTACACTTCATGTGAATCATCTCCAGGTGATGGTGGATTAACCATGATTTCCAATGCCAGCTGTGGTAAAACTGGAGGGCTGTAAGGAGCCTGCATACTCATTAGAAAGCTTTTGACCAGTGGGTCCATGTTGATGACCTCCATATAGCCTCCTCTCAGACCACACCTAAACAGGGCAAGTAAAATTCAGATATTCTACGTCAATATAAATAAAATGAGATACATGCTGTAAGCTTTGTAGAAAGCCATATAATTTTCTCTTTGGACCTGATACCATAATCAGAAAGATGGATACAGAACTATTGCCCAATAATTTTTATATCCATCAAATTCCCAGACTCTTCTCAACCACACTGTTTCAGTAAGTCCATCTTTAAACTGAGAGTTATAGGTTGATTTAAGGTGAAAGTAAATATTACGCTAAAGAGCAGCATTTTTTGCAGCATAAATTGGTGTGAAATAAGATGCAATTTACTGAAAGCCTATTTCCAAACCAGTTTGTAAAATCCTGTCTCTGTTGTTTTACATTCTGAATACTAACATGATTAAAGAACACTCCAACACATAGGGCTTTTTATTGGGGGTAAATAAAATAAAAACTACAAACAGCTTTGACTGAGCTGTTGTTTTTATTCAACATTCCTCTAAAGAAGAAGATCACAGTTATCTATAATTTCCCCCATTTTATGAAGAACAGCTTCATAAAATTAACAGCTTATTGAGCTTTTTTTTAAAGTAACTTGCTCTACCACCCCACAAATGATTGCAGAATAGATCACAGTCCCCACAACAGACTTGTGCATAAATATGCATAATCTCGCTGCCAGAGATGGGAAGTAATGAAGTACAAATACTTCGTTACTGTACTCAAGTAGATTTTTTTGATATTTTTACTT